ACTCACACAAGCAAACAGACAAAATGTAAGTGGTAAAATAAACTAAGGTTTGAGTTAGCACTTAACTGTGTACTACTGAGCTGTGACTTGATTTGACTACATATACATGTATATTCCTGTCTGGAATACTAATTCTTGGGGCAAGGAGAGATTTAAAAAAAAAAAAAGACCTGTTGTATTTCTGGATGTTTCAAAAGGTTATCTCTGTCCAGGATACATCAGAGATGGATAGACGATGACTTAATTCCTTAATAAACATGTGAGTCCAACTTTTCCCTTTACACCCTAGTTTTGCATGAGCCTGAAGAGAAAAAAAAAAAAACACCTTAGGCCGACAGGTCGGTAGAAATTTTAATCCCAGCCTCGCCTTGTTTGATGCCAGAGGCTGTGGGTCAAATGCAAACTGGCAACCAGTAAGGCTCAGCAGTGAAGCCAAAGCATAAGCTACTAGACGCTGGCACTGTATTAATGTCATTTGAAAAATCCAACATTTCTCTCTTCAAATGAAAAATTTTTCCTGCAAAAAAATTTTGCTATTTCAATTTCAGTTCTTGTCTATGTGTACCCTGGTGGGCTATTTGAAACTCATTCATCAGGAGATGTTTTTAAGGCTTGTTTGAGTGTATTTACTTGCTCAGTCCCGTCCAGACTTCCCAAAGTTTCCCATAGTCAGTTATGACTGACTAAGATGGTGTTTAAGTGGAAGCTGAAATCCAAGCTTCAAATGTTCCCTAAGAAACCCATTTGTGATGTCTCAGGTGTTTTGTTTGTGCTTTTCTTCAATCGGTCTATGATCAACTGGCAGATTTCCATTAAGCTGGATGCCTTTGCTGTGACTCACCTGTAAGCAACCATGATGAGAACCTGAGATATGGGCATTGTACCACACATCTTTCAAGTTGGTGGATTGAGATTCACCTCTGCTGTGTCTGTTGTTTGATTGTCTTTGTATAACCAGTCCATTTACTTTGCAAAACTTAAGCCGGACCCACAGAGTAAAATGCTTTGAAAAATACCCAAATCTATTTTAGACGCTCAACAGTTTCTATCAAACAAAGGAGTTAGCAGTCGGTCACTATTCTCAGTGACCAAGTCAGGACCTCCTGTAGCTGCTGGTGGAAAGGTTTTATTATTCAGTTCACTGTGAACTCAAGATGCAATAGAAATACAAACAAGCACAACATACTGTTTCTAAAAATCCAAAACAGGCTTCTGACTTTTATAATTAAACAATATTTTATCTATCAGGTTCTGATGCTGATACTAACATGTGAGTACAGTGTGGAAAACTTTTAGATCAGATGCGCAGCTCAAATGGATAGGTATTTTAAAAAGGAGATTAACTTCTGCTGCACTGCATTCTGAATGTTTCATGTGATTGAAATTTCTGATAAGCATGTACAAAGAATGACAACAAATCACAGTCGTCAAACTTATGTTAGGTTTAATAAATGAACTGCGCATCTGTGAGAGTATCTGTATCTGTATCTCTGTCTCCCTTATTTCCCATCACCCTCAGCTGTGAAGCATAAATGCCCAAACACACACAGCTTACAAAGGGACTGAAGTTAATGTCGGACCATGACAGGAGCACAGGCGGATGGTTTCGTGTGTGTTGGCACTGCAAGGCATGGCAGGGGTGTGTGTTGTGGGCTGACCGTTTCAAGGGTAAAATGTGACTTTGCCCTCCATTCACAGAGGGAATGTGACATTGACAAAGTGTTTTCTCTGTCGCCCCCTTCTTACAGCTCACAAGGGAGCACATGCCGGTATCCACTTAAGTGCCAACTGGTGGCAGCACCAGTAACAGTGTGCGTGCGTGCGTGTGTGCATGTGTGTGCTGCAAGCTTTGGCCAAAAGGTTTGCTTGGGCACTTGTTGGCAGGGCTGGTCACTCTTTTCGTTCCCAGCCCGAGAGCCAGAATTATACAGTTCCCACGCATGTTACAGCCGATACCAACCCTCTGACACACACACACACACACACAACCATTGACACATGCATACACAAAATCAGACACACACAGCCCATGCGTACATACACACAATCTATAATGCTCACACTAACCACCGGTGCTGTGTGTAAACACAGAGGCCTGTTGACACTAAAATACAGCTTTGCAGATTACCCACCCTGAGTCAAGCTGTTTGCTAGCCGGTAAAATATTAGCTTTGGATTGGCGGCTGTCATGAGCTTAGAGGACAGACAGTGTCAAGTTGTATGTGTGTGAAGGAGATTCATAGTAACCCTAAGGATATGAAGTAATGCGTATACAAGCATGTACATTTGTCTTTGCACGTGTTTGTGGTGTGACCAGTTCATAGTTGTCATTAAATGGTCCTAGACAGATATATCAGCCCTATCACTGTGCTATGGTTCAGTCTTTATATCATATGACCATAGTATGACCTTGTCTTTCTATTACTTTTTTTCTTGTTTGTTCATGGTCTCAGTTTTTAAGAGTATCTGGAGATATAACTACAAAACTCTTTGGCTTTCTTTGGACTGGTGAGGGGACCCCTAGAGGTTGGTTGGTGTGGAGGTGGCCAGAGTTGACTATGAGCTATCTGTCCAGTCAGCCCCTTTGTCATTCAGTCAGCCAGCAAGTCAACAAGTTGTCTATCACCAGGCCAAACACTAGTCCGTTTCATAAACAGTCTGTAGTACCAGACAGTTAGTCCATCAGTCTAGCAGCATGTCAGTCAGTGAGCCAGCCGGCTGGTCATACAGGCTCCCTGTGGAATGGGTAACCCTAGATGAGGGTAGCCCCAGAGGGGAGACTGGAGAGTCAGCCTGGAGGCGGGCCAGGATGTGTGGAGTGCAGAGAGAGGTGAGCCAACACCTCAGTGTAACCCAGAGCAGCTGTCTGTCGACATAGCAAATATGCACTAACCACTGTTACACTTGCTGCAACTACCACTGTTGGCACTAAATGGTGTTGTAGGTACAAGTGAAGATGAAATGGACAACTTATCAACTTTATTTGCTGGGATCTTTTATCCATATTTTGTTCCCCTTCCGAGATCAACAGAAGAACCTTAGTTCAAACCAGATATAACATTGTTTAATTTCACAGTAGATCAGTGGTAACTCCAGAAATGTAATGGGATTTTTTTCTTGTTTCATTTTTTTTATTGTTGATATGTTTGATGCAACACTGGAAACTTTCCAGAGCCAGTATAAATAACTTATTCAAAACATGCACATCTAATGTTTCTTTCAGGAAACTGTGATCGGATTTGACTTAATGTAATTTGATTGTTGACTCACTCAGAGTTATAGTGTTTATTAGAATGGAAGTTCTGATCTCAGAGTTCAGTTTACTTTAGTTTATACTGTATATTATGTCGTGCTTAGGAGTGAATGATATGAGCGGTAAAGTGATACACCAGTAGGAATTTGTGCCACAATTTCACGTTTCATGTTTTGACAAGTTTGCATCAGGTTGGACATCCCTGTCCTTTCAGGCCTTGAAAAAGCATGATCACACACCATCATGTAGGTGATGTATGTTCATAGCACAAGAATGGCACTATGAATAGATGACCTCTTACTGGAAGAGAATCATGGCTATTTTGGCCTGTCCTGATCCTTGGAGGACAGAGATAAAAATATTTTTTTCTTGGTTGTCTTGTAGTGTGAGGTTTGTGAAAACTCAGTTTTGACACCTGATCAACTTCAGATCCACCACTTTGGTTCAAACATGTTTTCTGTAGAGTAAGGGGTGAGCTGACTAAAGCTCATCACGGTGGTGGGATTTATAGTAGTTTAATTGTTTATAAAGATATACAGTTGCTTAAGGTGACAAATACTTTTCAATTACTACTCTTCAATTTTTTTATGTGCAGCATTCACCACTAAGAAACCCTTTAACATAGTAGCACAACGCTGGAAACTATGAAGTTGCTCAACACTCCTGTTCATTCTCCAAGATTGACACAGCATCCTTACTCTGTTTTAGCCTTACATTCAGCCACTTCATTGCCTTTTGTGTTTCTTCAGTACACATCGTTGAGGAAAAAATCGAAATCAAATACCCAGATGTAGATTTAGATCAGCTTTCAATGAGTAAACAGTTCGCAGATGGTCACTATACTTGATGGACAGCCACACTCCCTGGAGCTACTTTTTAGAAAAAAGTCTGTTTGTGATACAGCTGGAAGAAGTGTTGAGTTTAGATTATCAGATTGATCTTGCAAGGAAGGAAATTTAGATATAAAGATGCTGTCCAGAACGATATTAATTATTAAGTTGTATGTATGAAAAAAGGTATCAAATACTCTGCTATTGAGGAATGGGGGGGGGTTGTCAGGCCTCATCTATTTTAGTTGTCAGTTCCACTGAAGTCAATTCAAATACAAATTCAAATCATTCAAATTGTATTCACCTGATGACGTCAGATTAGGGAAGAAATATTTTCAACATATACTTTTTAATACTTTGTGAATTTTCTGCTGTACTGTATTATACTGTAAAAAATATGACCGCAAACCTTGATGAGGGCAGATCTATTCTGAAAATAGATCATAAAGTAATTTCTGTTTATGGGAAATGCTGTGTGTGTGTGTGTGTGTGTGTGTGTGTGTGTGTGTGTGTGTGTGTGTGTGTGTGTGTGTGTGTGTGTGTGTGTTTGTCCACATCACTCAAATGTTTCTCACATGACTGATAGCAGCAGTGTAAATGCCATATCAGGCTGATGATATGGAGCTGGAACATGTTTATCAGGGTAACGGTGTATGCACGCACGCACATACACACAGACGCAGACACACACACACACACACAGCAGATTAGAACCAACAGTAGCACCACCTTACACCACCCTCAACTTTTCAAGCTCTGTGAATGTATTAAAAATTGCCTGTATTTAGTATTTTTGAGGTATGTGTTTCAGGGGATATGAGGTTGTGATCATTAGTGTAATATAATAATATAACTGCAACATTATATTGGTACAAACTTTGAACAGTTGTTAATGATATTCCTTTGTGTCTGTTCAGAGACGAGGGGCCATCTCCTACGACAGCTCTGACCAGACAGCACTGTATATTCGTATGCTAGGTAAGTGTTTCCCCACTCTTGATGCATACACACACATACTCACACAGTGTCACAGAGTGTCTTTGAAGTTTGATCAGACTTGTTAAGAGAACAGAATTTCATTTGAACCCTAAATAGATTAAAGGTTCACTGCCGGAGTGGGTTTTTGTGTTTATGTACATGTGTCTGTGTGTACATACTGCATGTGTGTGTGTCCATTTGCCCAGTGCTGCCCTGAGCGACTCTAAACAGGATAAGCAGTTTAGAAAATGGATGGGAGGATGCAGGGCTCATAGCTCTGCGAGGCAGATGGAGCCAGATGCGTCTAGGAGGCAGCCAGCTTCGGCTTCCTAGTCAATAAGGTTATTGGGGATAGTGGTGAGATTAGAGCCTGGGTTCACCCCTGACATCAGTCTACCACACACACAGATGTGCCTTCACATGCAATTTTTACCACTTTAATTAGTAGATCTGATGCTGTTGGCTGGGAGTGAGCAGCCACAAAGAAAGAAAGTAGAATTGCTCACAATGTTATCCTGTCGCTGTCGTTCATAGACATCAGAATGCTGCTGTGAAGCGTGATGAGTTGGCAGGGAGCATTAAATAGTAGGGGCAGTTTAGGGCTTACTGAATGTCTTTGTTGAAATCCTGTTTACTGTAGCTTTCACATTATATTGCTATACTTTGCTCCTCTCCAGCTTGATAATGCCCTCGAGTTGACTGCCACGTGTATCTAGTCAGAATAGCAGCAATTTATTGAGCTGACTGAAGGAGCTTTAGCTTTTTAATCATTTTACTTGGCTAAGTATGATGGCAGGCTCATACGTCACCAGCATAAAGCATCTGTCTCTGTAGATTTTATATTAAATTGTGTGTGAGGAGAGGCACGCTAATGCAGACTGGTGTTTGCGCGGGCCAGGGTTCAGTCCGCCAAGTTAATGCTGATGTGCTTTCAAATAGCAGGACTCAGAGCTTTCACCACATCAGTTATAATGACATGACCTACATCCACCCCAGAGCGCCAGCACTAATGCACCGCAGGGGAAACATGGACCCTGTGACTCTTAAAACACACTAATCACACAAGCACACACACGCGTGCTGAACCCTAGCACATGCATCTGCAGATGTGACAGATATACATGTGGGCACATACACACACTCTCACTGTCTAGGAGTGCATGAATTATAGAGTTTTTTTGGTCATAATTTAGTTTTGCATGTGAAATGCCACTGATATGGATTCACTCTCCACATTCATACCAACGACTTTACATGCAGCTATTCAAAAATAATGTTGAGCATCATTATACCTTGAATTGTAATTCTTAGTTTTTGGTATTTTGATAGGAGCTTGTGTAGTATTCAAACAGCTGTTTGCAAGTAAGTAACATGCTGGTTGGGGGAACACACCTGTGTGACTGCTTTGAATTTAATCCTAATGCACACATGAAACAATCAGAAGTGCCAAGCTGGAAACATACCATTGCACCGTTTAGCACCTTGATCAGTATACTGCCATTTAGCGTCTTGCCATACATAGATACATACATAGTTGCCTGGAACGACACACTAGCATTTTACTGCATCAGTGTCATAGCACCATCCTGTCACCTCACTATGCTGTCACTGCTCCTGACTGCAGTCTACAAACAGGCTGGCCGCCGTCTGGCCCATCCCTGTTCCTGTGCCTGACTAATAAAAACAGTCATAGATGGACTATAGGCCACTCTCAGTGGCTCTGTGTACTAATAGTAGAGCAGACTGTCCTGACATGGCATTGCATGCTCAGCTGTTGGATCGACTTGACTGTCCATTGAATTTTCTCTTCTGGGATGTGCGAGTGTGTGTTTGTGTGTGACTGTGCCCGCATATGGATAATATACACCAGACTTGGGTCAAATAGTATTTACAAAATCACATCTTTTGCTTGTTTTAGTTTGCTTAGAGTACAGAAATGTTTTTACCACACTGAGCCAATAGAGGAGTGAAGCTTTCAGTGCTTAGTATAAGATAGATTATTCCCTTTAACTCTTATGAAAAGCTGAAACATGATGGTGGGATTTTCTGATGCTGAGCTATAGTAAATGCATATCCATTACCATATTGACGAAAAAGCAACAACACCATATCTATTTTAACAAAGATCAACGATTGATTACGTTGTTCACATTCAACAACTACAGTTCCCATGAGGCTTGGACACATGTTATTCTGGCTAAAACATGAAGGATATATTGCTGCTCAATTCTAATGAAAGTATCCATTGTTTTGTTGTTAAAATGAATCTGTTACATGTGCTTCACAAAAGGTTTTATCATAAAATATCAGACAGGATAGTAAGAAACGCAAAAGTAACAAAAAACAGTTTATAAAACAGAAATAACATCAGCAAAATTGGCAGTTAAGTGAGGAGAATATTAGTGAGCTATTTATCTATCTATTGCCAGAAAACCAGAATGAGTTTCAGCTTTTTAAAGGGATCAATGAAAGAAACTCTGTGATCAAAAAAAAAATTGTCTGGCTGAGGCCAGTGGAACTGAGGCCTGCTTAAAAAGGGTTAGGGTTTCAGCTGTATGTTAATGTCGTGCTCTGTTCATTGTCCTGTAGTAAAGCTCATCCTTGTGGCACTTAAGCAATATAAATTCCAATATATAATGCAAAGAAATAATTGTAAATACTACTTGGCCTAGCACATTTACACACCTTTCTTTTCAAGGAGCATGAATCTTGAGGAAATAAGTGCTGATTTCTTCTAGGAGATGTGAGAGTGAGAAGTCAGGTTGGATTTGAACCGGAACGAAGAAGCTCCCACCCATACCTGTGCATCGACTTCCGCACTCTTCACAGTGAGTATGAATCACAGCCAATTACCTTGACCTTCCAGCTATTATCAAACTGTAGCTCCACACACAGTTTGTTCCTCTCCAGCAAGATTGACAGATGTTTGTGCACTGCTTTCATAAATTATTTCACATGGCGATAAAGACCAAGGTGTTTTCTTACTGTAAACCTTGTGAGAGGCTTTTTATCAAAGCTTTGTGAATAGGTGTGTGATAAAATAACCACCTTCATACTCACTGAAACCTTTTTATAAAACATTAATCAGGTACAAAGAGTGTGTGTGTGTGTGTGTGTGTGTGTGTGTGTGTGTGTGTGTGTGTGTGTGTGTGTGTGTGTGTGTGTGTGTGTGTTGACATTTTAACCCAAACGTAATCCTACCTTGTGCTGACGTGTTTCCGGATTGCAACCACAGTTTATTCAGACACAGTGCTTTTGTGTGTGAGTGTGTGTGTGAGAGAGACCACTGACAAAGCATGTCTGCTGTGTGATCCCAGACGAAAGGCTTATGAGTGGGCGGCTGTGTCAGCAGCGACTGTTTGTATATCGCTGTGTTGGTGTCACAACCCCACCGAGTTTGTGCGACCCAAATGATTCTCCGAGCCTAATGAGCTTCTGAAATAAACATGTCCTAAAAAACTGCTTCTCATATGTTACATCTTTTGTAAATTATTTAATGTCTGTGTTTGTGTCTGTGTTTGTGTGCGCAGCGCGGCTGGGCTGTGGGTCCACGTCAGCCAGCTCTGCTCCAGAAAGGAGGGTCCACAGACTACTCAGCTTCCAGAGGTACCTGCACTCATCCCGCCTGCTGCGAGGACTCCCCCAGCAGATCCCTCTCCACATCCTCGATGAAGACTACACTGGACAGGCCAGAGTATGACACCCACCTTTATATAATGATGCTATTATGAGACTGGTAGAAATGCACATGATTTGCTTCACATCACTAATTCTGTACTTCTCTTTCCGCTCTCCTGCAGTGCATGCTGGAAAAAGTCGGGAACTGGAATTTTGACATTTTCCTCTTCGATAGGTTGACAAACGGTTGGTAAAACAGGATCTGAATTACTGTTCAGAAGTTGTCTGAAAAGTCATGATAACAGAAATAATGCATTAGCTCAGCTTTAGGTTCAATGGTGCCATCTGTTGGATGGCCAACACAGAGGATTTACTGTATGAAAATGAACACTGTTACAGACTCACTACATTTTACTTTGTAAAGACAAAAACACCTTACATTCATGAAGTTTTGGGTCATGTTGAAGAGGATACAAGACTTATGAGATCTTTTACAATGCAGCTGAAGTGGAGTTTGACAATTCAACAATGTAAACAGATAGGTTTTTTAACAGGCCTAAAAAATAACAGCTTCTTTCTGCACTTTCTTTGTTTTGAACCTGTTTACATTCATACAGCAACAATATTAAAAGTAATAGACATTTCTGCACTGACAGCAGCCTCATTAGATCAGAATGTGCTCCAGCCACAGGATATGTTCTGCCATGTACCTGTCTTGACATGTTGACTGTGAACCTCAAAAACAAGAGAAAAGGACCACAGCGCTTATGATTAAAAATCTCAAACGAGTAATTATTTAAAATGAGAAGAAGGCGAGGTATAGGGCATGTACGCAGATCACATAAAACTCCTGCGATACACTGAGCATAACAGATCAATGTTTAATGGTGCATTTTTTCCTTTTGTTTCATATGAGTAAGAAGAGACAACATGAAAGCTGAGCGCTCAGTCTGATCTGTCTTCTTGTTCAGGAAACGGCCTGATCACCCTGACCTTCCACCTGCTGAACCAGTATGGGCTGGTGGAGCTCTTCCAGCTGGACATGGTCAAACTCTGGAGGTTCCTGGTCATGGTCCAGGAAGACTACCACAGCGACAACCCCTACCACAATGCTGTCCACGCTGCAGATGTCACACAGGCCATGTACTGCTACCTGCAAGAACCCATGGTGAGACATTATTTTGTGTTGTGTTTGGCTTGAGAAAGCACCTTTAACTCAGTTGGTTGTTCACCAATACATAGGCTGCTTGAATTTTCTAAATTTAAAGGAGAATAGAATCTTCTCTAGCTAAGGCTTCTTGATCTAGCACCGTGCAGGCTTTCCTGAACAACCATTAATCCATCTAATGAATGTTATCACATGGGTTTTATATATAAATCTATAAACAAAGATTTTGCATGAAGAGTTGCAAGAATGTCAGTATATAACTAGATCTGAAAGTGCTTCACTGAAGGAATATTTGTGTTTTGATGATCTGTCATCATAATCTTGTGTGTGTTATTGTCTTGTTGTGAGTGCAGCTTGCAAAGTATCTGACCTCCTATGACATTCTGCTGGGACTGGTAGCAGCCGCCACTCATGACCTGGACCATCCTGGGGTCAACCAGCCTTTCCTCATCAAGACTGACCACTATCTAGCTACACTCTACAGGGTAAGACCTCATAACAGTCACTGTTTAGCCTGCCAGAACTTACTCATGAATTTACTGAAAATGTATGTGTCTGTACACAATTCATTCCTTTTGAACTCACAGAATACCTCAGTTCTGGAAAACCACCACTGGAAGTCAGCAGTGGGCCTGCTCAGAGAGACTGGTCTGTTCTCCCATCTGCCTGCTGAGGACAGGTCAGTCTGACACTGAAATGTTGCTAAGCACCAACAAAAAACATCACTACACACTGTGCTAGATAGCACACAGGGGAAGGTTATGCATGTTACTTCAGAAATGGAAGTTATTTTGAAGGGCTTTTCTACTTAGTTGTATTAAGACAATGCCATCACACTTCATAGTCAATGCTTAGAAAAAGATTATTTTAATAAATAAATGTACTTTCTGACCCCTCAGCCTGAACATGGAGAGGGAGTTGGGCTCTTTAATCCTGGCCACGGACATCAGCAGACAGAATGACTACTTGTCCAGGTTTCGCACGCACTTGGACCAAGATAACCTGTGCTTGAGCAACGCCAGCCACCGACACTTCATCCTGCAGGTCAGTTACCTCCTCTGTTGTACATGCACGACTTCTGCATCTTGGCAAACCTGCAGGCTCTTATTTTGTTTTTATCCCCACCCTGTGCAGATGGCTCTGAAGTGTGCAGACATCTGTAACCCTTGCAGACCCTGGGAGCTGAGCAAACAGTGGAGTGAGAAAGTGACAGAGGAGTTCTTCCAACAAGGTTATCTTCATTTCTGCTGCTTGCTAATGTCATTTATCTTACTCTTTCATTTTGCCCTTTTAACTATTATTATTACTTTAGTTCTGTTCATTCTGTATTTTTTATAATTCTATAATAGTAGAACATATGTATGCCATAACATAGTTGATATATTGATTGCATGTATTACATTTCATTATGCCCCTGTAGGAGACATTGAGAAGAAGCACAAACTTGAAGTCAGCCCACTTTGTGACAGAGAGAAGAACACAGTTGGCAACATTCAAATAGGTAAGAAGCTGTTTTGTATATTTGTTGTATTCACCATACACTTACATGTATTGAATATTTATTTTTAGCCATAATCTGCATCTGCCGCCTCTTCTACCACTTCAGGCTTCATGACGTATGTGGCGGAGCCGCTGTTTGCAGAGTGGGCTCGTTTCTCCGACACGCGTCTGTCTCAGACCATGCTGGGCCACATGGGGCTGAACAAGGCCAGCTGGGGCGGCCTACAGCAGGAACAAACCTCTGTCTCCGAGGAGGCGGAACCCAGCACAGCCGGCACCGACACAGAAGACGTTGCCGCCCGGAGGGAAGGCAACACAGCTACAGCCGCAGGAGGAACCAGCTCCAAAGAAATACCTCAGGGAAACAGAGAATCCTGACACTCCTTGTGTGCCCTTTCACCTCAACTTCCTGACCCCTGACCCCCGGCCTCAAGGCCTCATCACACACTTGGGGCCCGGTGGGGCATCCAACGGCCTGCATCCCAGCCGCTGCCCCACCTGATCCTAACACCTTGTTTATGTTTTGTTGCTTTTGCCTCCCATCTTGATAAACCACTGATTTTATTTAATTTATTTAATTTTTAATTCCTCTTTTTTGGCATAGAGCAATACATAGATACCTCATTTGGCTACTGCTGTATTTTCTGTTATTTGCTTTGTTTTATTTATTTGTCCACTGTAGTTTTGGCATTACTGACTGATCACACCACTTTTTTTGATGGTGAACCTTAAGGGGAAAGCAGTATGAGAACTGAAGAAGACACTTTTCTGGTATTTTGAAGTGCCATTTGAAAACAAAGATTTGAAGAATGATCTGAACCTAATTGACTGAGACAACTGGAGTATTCAGACATGAGACCCTCCTCAGACTTAAGAGTAATGCCGTGTTGCATTTGTGTTGAAAATTCTTCCTCATGTAAAAACAAAAATCAAAAAAAAACAAAAAACAAAAAAAAAGAAAAGAAAAAAAAATGTGACAAGCCCAGTCCTTTTGCTGCCTCTACGAAGACTGTTTACGCATCTCCTTGTTTGTTGTTTCTTTCCCTTGAACTGAAGTGAATCATGTCGGCTCCACGGTTTGCCTTCGAAGCACAGATGTGAAGAACCACTTGTTTGAACTGTCATCCCACTGTTGAAGCCATGAGCAGAATCTTATTCAAACACACCAGATGCCATAAGTAACCCCACCTGTGCTAAAATATGGTCTTGCACTCCCAAATAATGACGGTGTTGGGTGTGCAGCTTCGTCTCCATGACATCTCCAAGACATCCTGCGAAGGTTAGCCCCTTTTCTGATGATGAATCTTCCAGTGCTGGTTGAACTTGGGGTAGCTTCCCTCCCACACTGGAGATCAGTTTCTCACTGCACATGTATCTCACCTGGAACTCCACTCAACGCAACTCGACTCGCTCAGGGTTTTGCCAGTCTCTTATAAGGAGGGAGAGGGGGAGGAGGTGACTGCGGGCGATGCAAGGTTGTATTTTTTTTTTTTTCCTGGCTAGGATCTACTGAAGGAGACTCTTCCTCTCCGCAGAATGTCTCTCACAGCCACATGCAACCTAAAGGTCTGCTCGATTGATGCCTTATAACTATGCACAAACTATGCTAAGTGACCAAACCAACTTCTGTTCCCTTCAAGTGCATGGTGTGCTTGTCTTTGAATGCACTGTCCAATCCCTTTGCCTTTTTGTTGTGAGGAACAACTCCAGCTGTCCTTTTTTTGTACGGAAACAAAATGGTCGAGTGACTTTGAACATTCCATTTCTTTGTGTTTGGTTTGTCTACTTTGATTCTGTATAGTGGCACAAATTGTGTTTGTGTTTCAACATTTTGAAAGATAACAGGTGCTTTTCTTACTTTAGCTGATTTGTATTTTGCTGTAAGTGCTGTAAGACTGTTGATAAAACTGTTTACAATTTGTTGCGACAGCCATTTTTGGGAAGACTTCAGTGTCGAGCCAGATTTTGTAAAAGCTTTGCTGTATTGACCTTTTTGATACATGCCTGTTGCAGTTACAATTTGAATAATAAAACCTGTTGTTGACAAATGTTTGACACACAGTCAAAGTATGTACTCTGGACAGTGATCGCTCGATAATATAAATTGTAAGTTAATGTCTTTCACACTTAAGTCCTGTTAAGTTCTACTGTGGGGCAATTTTTCCTTCGCCTTTTACCGATCTTAACCACTTAGGAATGGCGCAAACATGAGGGCAGGTGACTTTCATAAGAAGGTTACACTTGAACCATACAGACATAAAAACAAGCAAGTCAAGATAGATCATAAACTTTTATTTAGAGATTTGACAATTCAAGTTTATTTTCATAGAGGACAACTTTTCTACGAAATTCTGAATAAGTTTAAATCACTCATTTACAACTGATACTACCAGGTCTCCTTCCCTCATAAAAATAAGAGTTGACTTGAAGCAGCAACTACACTGACATATACTGGTCAGAACCGAGAACAATGTGCAATCAGTCACTTTGAACAAAATACTGCCTAAAAACCTGACAACTTAAAGGAGTCACTATCTTATGTGTCACATTTCCAAATTGAGGTACAGAAATGATCACTGGCATGCATGGATGANTGATCTTAACCACTTAGGAGTGGCGCAAACATGAGGGCAGGTGACTTTCATAAGGTTACACTTGAACCATACAGACATAAAAACAAGCAAGTCAAGATAGATCATAAACTTTTATTTAGAGATTTGACAATTCAAGTTTATTTTCATAGAGGACAACTTTTCTACGAAATTCTGAATAAGTTTAAATCACTCATTTACAACTGATACTACCAGGTCTCCTTCCCTCATAAAAATAAGAGTTGACTTGAAGCAGCAACTACACTGACATATACTGGTCAGAACCGAGAACAATGTGCAATCAGTCACTTTGAACAAAATACTGCCTAAAAACCTGACAACTTAAAGGAGTCACTATCTTATGTGTCACATTTCCAAATTGAGGTACAGAAATGATCACTGGCATGCATGGATGATAGATACTTTTGGGATACTGATAACGGTGGCTACCTTAGGACCCATGAGTTTTGTCGAAATAAGCAAGAAATATTTTTCATGTTAACTACAATAATGCAGCATTTCTGTAGTGTTGATGTTGAACTGCGAGTCTTAAGTTCCAGGAAAAGTTGAAGTGTTTTGCAAGAGACAAATCTTATCAAAAGGAGGTGCTGATAAAGAAAACAAAAACACTGCACATGTACAGTCAATAACCGAGAAATATGAACTTTGTTTAACAGTTATATGGCAGTATCTTTCCCTCACCATTAAACATTCACGGGAAACAAAAAAAAGGGAACATGTAAAGGTCAAATTTGGCAGTTAAAGGCAGAATATCGCAGATCACTGGAATGTCTTTGGCTCTTAAAGCGGATCGTAGTAAAGAGATAAATTACGTCTACAACTGGGATGCATATATTTGAATCATCAAAACACATGCAAGCCGTGGCAAAACTGGCAACTAGGACACAACTTAGACAGGCTCAACTTAAAGAAAAAAAAAAAAGGGATGAATCTAGGACATAATTAACTGTGTTAAAAACAAAATTATCTACTTAAACCTCAACATAAATACATGGATCCTGATCATAAATTAGTCTACATGTCAGCATACATATATAAAACAGTACATCACAATATGCCACAAGTAAGAAAGTGCTTCCTTTCTTCTGTGGTAGAAGAACTCTTCAGCTTTCACAGGCCCTTTAGAAATGGGAATGCAAAACTGACCAACTATGCTATGTGCAACAAGTTTTAACGAAAACCTAATAAAGACTGAACAATAAATCTAATATCACTGAAAGATTCTGTAGTGTTGCTTTAACATGCGCGAGTGCTTCTGACACTTTCACTCAGGACCATGATGGATTTAAACTCTGCCGACAGAAATACAAAACATTCAGTTAAACCGAAAGAATTTGTAAAACACAAAGCTAATATAAGTTATAAAAGTGCAAAAAAAAAAAAAAAACATGGTCGGGATGATCATCAGATGAAACACTTGTGAGATGACTGATACTTGGAGCAGCCTGTCATCTAGTTCAGGCAGAATCCCTTGTCCTTCCACAGAAACAGCAGATATTAAAAATGTTGATAAGGCACTTTAAAACGTCCACACACACACAGACACACACACACACACACAGTGACCGGTTCAGAGCAACTTCCTTTTTCCAGTCGCTTTCAACATGTGCTGCCCAAACTGTGAAAACAGACAGGAGGCAAAATAAGGTACATGACAAACTACACACCTCTGAGACACGAGTCACATCAGTCACATTACATTCACTTGATTCCAGCGATGATGACATGCAAGGGTGGACCCTTAAATTTCATCTTAAAATGTTAGATGATATGTGAAATTCATATCTACAAACACAGACAACCACCTACCTAAAATCAAAACACTGATTTTTTTAGTAACCTTTTTTTTGCAGTTAGTCCTCTAATGATGAATAAGTCTGTGGCTTTTTTTTTTTTTTAGATGATTTTTCTTTTTGGTCTAAATATACCACCTTCTAGTTGTCAATCAGAAACTCACCAAAGGGGTTTCAGTTCGAGGTTTCACGTCTGGAACGGGAAGTTTGAAATCCTCCTGGTCATCTTGTCCACTGTCGTGTCGATAACGGTGGGCAAACTTGCGCTTCAGGGCCTCGGCGATGAGAGCTGCGGCGTCTGCGGGCTCGCCGGGCTTTACTTTGGCATCACCTTCCACTGGACGACTATGAAGGCACACAGGCGACGAGGGCAATTACAAAGTCGAATCATTAGCGTTTGATTAGTTGTGTTGTACACAAGCACGTCTTCCCATTTATAGCAGAAGCTCAAGGAGATACATGAGTACATTTATCCGCGTTATGATGAAGTTAAATTTAGAGGCAGAACAGATGCATAAAGTTGAAGGAAGGGAATGCTACCTTTAATAAACTTGTAACACTACACCATTACAGTAATAGCTGAGGAACACGTCTACTGACTTCAAAAAAACCCTTTGCATGAATATGTCTCAAGTCGCTTCTAAGTGGAGGCCCACCTTTTGACTGATCGCAGCTTGACTTTGTTCATGTCCTTCAGGACATCGAGCATGCTGGGAATTTCTGCTGGCCTTGAATCCAAAACTGTCTGGCCGTCTGTCTTCTTCCCTCTGCGCTCTTTTATCAAATCAATGGCTGAAAATGTCCGCTGGAGACCTGGGGGCGGCGGCAGTGGTGGTGGTGGTGGAGGAGGAGGTGGTGGAGGGGGAGGCAGGGTGCCACAGGGTGGAGGGGGAGGAGGAGGTGCCCCTGTGGTAGCAACTAAAGTGAGGAAAAGTGAAGAGGAGAATTATAGCTGTGTAACGTGAAATTCTGCTGCCACCTAGGGGAAAATTTGTATGACTGCAGTGCAGCAAAAAGAGGAAAACAACTCAATGCATTCATGCAATAGGGAGGGAGTTGAGTGTATGTTTTGGAAAGTTGTGTGAGGAGATACCTGGCTGGGTGATCTTTTCCTGAGCCAGTACGATTTGCGCTATCTGAGCTCTGAGTTTGGCAAGTTCTGTCTCCAGTGCGCTGATCTTCTGAATGGCCTCATCGTTGGCGACTGTCGGCCCCTGGGGGTCCGGAGCCCCTTGGTGCAGGCTGGGCAGTGACCTCCGACGGGGTAAGGGTCTTCTCTGAGGATGAGGCTGGCGGGCTCGAAACATGAATCCCTGTGGCATCCCTGACCTGTTTCATTTATTATTACGGATGGTCAACAGAATCGATTTCCTAGACTCTGCTCACAGAAATAAGTTGATTCTTTAACATGAGCTGCAATGCATATCTTTATCTCCCTCTTACCTGGGTCTGCCAAAGTATTCTTCATCATCACCCTCCTCCTCATCCCTGTCAATCCAGCCAATATCAGCAAGAGAGGCCACCTGACAGTTCTGCCTCCTGGCGCCAGTCAGGACACCAGCGTCCTCGGTGTACGGATGAAGCTGTCAGAGGAAAACACCAGCCATATTCAACATTTAGACATACAAACAAAAACATGCCAGAGAAGAACACACACCAGCACACATTACAACACTGCACTTCAACAAAAAAAAAGTTTACAAAACTTGTTTACAATTAGACTTGATTGATAAAGGAAGTAACAGGGTAAAAATGAGGGGGCAGTTCAGAAGGAGGAGGGGAAGGAGGGGCTGTTGTTAATGAAAGGCTTCAGGTAGCGCAGAAGGTCTTTAATCAGCTCAAGGTTGTTGAAGATTGCTGAACAAACTGACCTAAAGCAGACATACTGCATTCCTCATAGCTAGGGAGGGTGGCTGGAGACAGAAGAAAAGAAGAAGAGAGAAAGCAGTGTTGAAATAGACGGGAAAGAAAAGACAATCAAATCAGTTTTTAAAATGACACGCCACTGAATTGTAATATATTACAGACGATTCATTTGTTAACAGTTTTAAAAAAAAAAAAAACCCATGAACAAACATATCAAAAAATATATCTGTTCTTGTGACTTCTGACGTTGCTCTGTTTATGGTTCATAAATGAAAACACTCAGACAAGCAGAGGTAAACAAAAGTTGAAGAGGGTGTGTGATCTGTCGTCACATGGCAGTGACTCCAACAGCAGGGACAGACAGACAGAAAGACAAGAGAGGACAGGGCTATGTCATGAGGGATAGATTAAAAGAACTTGAAATCACATGGGGGACAAAATGTCTTCATCTGAAAATAAAAGATATGCATACCGCATTTTCAAAGACTATATGACACGCCACAATAAAAACGATGATCCTGTTAACCTTCCCTCACCTGAAAATGAACCCTGGGGCAGGGTTTCAGAGGAAGACTAGTAGCTATTCTCCTCACAATACTTCTCGAGGACCCGTAGGGCTTGGCTGATCCAAAAGCCTGCAAAACAAAACAAACAACATAAACACACAATTTACATCACAAATGAATGTCACTGTTAATTTACTGATTAACTAAATGTTGACACACAACCTCTCAGATCTTGCAAGTGAGAAACCTCAACTATGATATTTCAGATGAGACAGATTTCGAAATGTATGGGAATTTAAAAGACACTAATGAAGCCAGACATCAACCCGGACTCTCACATACCAGGTCCATCTCGATCCGTGCATAGTCTTTACTCATTTCTGTGGATGTGTTTCACCAGGGCATATGGACACATGCTTCAACACCAAGGGCATCCTCACCAAACGGACATCTATAACCAACACAAAACAAGAGTGAGGAATTCAGGTTGAATGATAATGAAGCACAAAAACTTACAACCAACAATGAAAACTTGAAGAGATAAATGCCTCTATGCAACACCTGAGTCAAGATGCTCCAATACAATACACTGGCATACATTCTGTTTCAGCCTTTAGCAGTACTGGTTCATATCAATTCCTATGTAGCAACAGAGTAAGTATAAGTTATGATCTTTCGATGAATTACATTAAAAACAAAGCGTTTATGACGCTTTTATCTAAGCAGTGGCAGTGATCGCAAATCTGTCGATGAAGAAACACAGTAGGACGCATATTTACCCTCTCAAATGTAAAAACAGCAGTGGCACAGTCAGACACGTAGCGCGATTTTGTTATTAAAATTTGGCTTTGTCATTTTGTGTTGTGATTTTATGCTTGGCTTGACTGCTGTAACACTGAAATTCACCAGAGATGAAGAGAGCACTTGAAGCAGTCTATCTATCTACCTACCTATCTATCACAGCGAGACACCGAGAAACGTGAAAAAATTACTCACTCGCATTTATCAGACATATATTAGTTAGATATTGTTTTCATGCTAACGGCTGGCTAACACGCTAAGCTAAATTAAACGGGTGGCTGTGAACTTTAGCGGGCAGTGTGGCTAACTGGTGCTAACAACGAAAGCGGGCTAACAAAGTCCAGTTGTATAGAACAGCTGACAAATTTATTAAGATCTTCCGATGATTATCCCTAGAGTGAAAGGCAGCTACATGTGTTAACGTTATATTTCTATTCAAAGATAAATGGTGTGTGCGTGTGACTTTGAAACCAACTTACCGAGCCTGACGCACACTGACAACTTTATAACTTTTTCCACCTTGTCGGATTTCCACTGCAAGAGGCGAGTAATGTAGGAAGACCCATGGAATACATTTTGAGCCAATTGGATTATAGGGACTACAATAGATAGGTTGTGACTATGAAACGTCACCATTGGTCATTTAAGTTGATTGACAGATAAACTCACCAATTAGAGTTGACCTTCAAAATAAAACTATCTGATGATTGGGCTGTGTATCAGTCGATCACGGTACACCGTCAAATCATATATCATGAATCTTGTGGATGTTCGTTATGTTTCCCTACATTTCCCGGCGGAGCTGTGTCCGAGTTAAACTGCAGGGATTCCTATGGAAAACAGGGATGTCCTCATTGACAAAACAGCTGTACCCATTTATCTGCCACAAAACCCAAACACCGTGCCCAGCTGCTAGCTAAAGAAGCATAGTAAAGAAAGAAGCGCAGGCCTAGCTTTAGTGAAATTATTTTGTCACGTTTGTTTTTAAGTTGGCACCGGGACTCAGCTGTTTCTTGTTACGTCGTTTTTGCATCTCTTGTAACTGAAGTCAGCCGGGGTTGTCTCATGTTTTTACTAAGAACTGGCAAAAAGGTATGCTATTAATGTCAAGTAACATTAGCTAGCCTAGCTTAGCTGCTGAATCGCCTCTGTACCACAGGGCGTGATTTGAGGTGAGGTTGGGGGTCGTGGAAAGTGTCTTTGTCAGAGACGAGTATTTGTGTTTTGGCTTACGAAAATCACAGTGTGTTGGCAGTAAACCATGAGATCAAACCGCATGATTTTATAATTTGCCTACCAAAGCACGCTAAGCTATTTGATCTTTCATGTCATGACTGCAGTCTTATCAATGCATACCAGTAAAATCGGTAACTTTACAAGAAACACTAACCAGTCAGATTGCCTAGCTGCACATTTCAGAGGTTACTGCTGATATAAATCCCCAGTAACTCAAACTAATCAGTAAAACGTGGTCTAAGGCAATTGGATAGTAGTAAAAGTTAAATAGTAAGTGCATGTCACAGACTACTTATTTTGAATACTGTTTTGCACCAAGTTATTTAAAAAATCCTAAAGGTTGCCGTATTTGCCATATGCATAAAGGCATTTGTATCAGTATTGCAACGATTCTTTAATTGATCAGTCAATTCTCAGGAATATCTTTGTTAACAATTCTGACAGTCAGTTAATGTTCATGTGATTCAGAAAAAGGAAAAAACAGACTAAACTTTTCCAGGTTCAAATGTGAAGATTTGCTGCTTGTTTCTATTTTATATTATTGCAAATTGAATATTTTGGTCAAGAAAATCAGCAATTTGCATTGCATTTTAGCATAGAATGAAACCTAATTTAATTACACTGTACATGTAAAGGTCAACTAGGGACAAGAGTTGAAAATTAGCAATAACTATAAACTCCCTGAGCAACACATCAGTTTCATGCTCTATTGGAACTATGTTAAACTGCATCGTCCCTGTTAAATGAATTAATAAACTAAACTAAGACTCTGGGGAAAATGCAACAGATATTTTTACCCATTTTCTGACCTTTTGTAGTCCAGGCAGTTAATTGAGAAAACAACAGATCACTTGATACTTAAATAGCTGCAGTCCTAACTAATATAAAGTAAGCTCCCTGATCTGCCTCACCTTTATCTTTTCAGTGAAGTGAAGAGGTTGGTTTGATGTGCGTGACATCACAACAAGAGGCACCATGAGTGCGGAGCTGGATGCACTGACTGTGGTGAACCAGCTGCGAGATCTCGCCGCAGACCCCCTGAACCGGAGAGCCATAGTAGAAGACCAGGGCTGTCTGCCAGGTCTCATCCTTTTTTTGGACCACCCCAACCCACAAGTCGTCTACTCTGCACTACTCGTAAGCAGCATACATATTCACATAAAGAGCCTTCAAAGTACAGATAGTTACTGTTGCATAAAGGAAAAGATATAAGTTTGGAATACGCAAGAAATTTGATCGTGTAACATTCTTATTGAAATATCTACAGCAGTTTGGTTGATTCAATTTCTTTTGGTTGGATAGTGAACTGAGTTCCCTCCTGGCTCAGGAAACTAGCTGTTTTCTGCTCATGTCAGAGTTTGTGCCTCCTGCTACCCAGCAGGCTCCAGTGACCATTTAAAGGCCATTTCCTCCACCACTGAGTCGCAGACATGTGGTGGCATTAAAACAGCCACATATTTAAAAACACTGTCCAATGGTGACATCTGCTGTCTGTATTGTGGTGTAAACACAGCCGAGTCTTGATATTGAAGCCTCTCCTCAATTCCTCCACCAGCACCACCCTTTTGTACAGTAAACGACTTGTAGTGTGCGTACAAATTTAAGTGGCTTTACATAACAGTTGCTCTTTGTCGATAACCCGTGAAGTGTAAACACAGGGTCGGTGCATGTGTATTTATATTGGTTATGTAATATTTTATCGTTGCACACGTGTTCCCATTTTAAAAGCTTTCTCTCTTATAATATCACAGAGGGTCTGTGAGCTGGATAGATAACGGTTGCCCTTGTCCTTGCAGGCCGTCCGCTACCTGGCAGAATGTCGAGCCAACAGGGAGAAGATGAAGGGCGAGCTGGGCATGATGCTGAGTTTGCAGAATGTCATGCAGAAGCAAGTTCCTGTCACCACCACATCACACACACACACACACACACACACACACACACACACACACACACCCACACACACACACACACACATACACACACATATGCTCACTGTGCACTTTCTTTACATAAAACCTTAACCTAGGATTTCTTTTGTTTTGCACGGACAACGTGTGCCTGTCTGCAAATTTCCCATGCAGGACGATGTCCTTCCATTTGCCATGTCAGGATGAATGTGATTAAAGTTGAATTAGAATAGGGTGGTAACCAGTTAAATTGCTGTTTCTGCATGTCATAGATTTTATTGCATCCTGCCACTTCACCACAATTTCTTGATGAATCCACATGCATATTTTTACTAGTGTAGGCTTATATTTGCTCTTGTTTTGTAGTGGATTTACAGATGTGGCTGAATTTGCACATGTACAGTAGTATATTGTAAGAATGTTCCTGTGTTGTTTGGTTTTAGTCTAATATCCATTGTTTTATTTTATTTAATCTCTATTTTCTAAAAGAACATGATAAACACATTCTGGTCATGAAGTGTTAGAGGGAGGTCTGGATTGAGGTGGTGTTGTGCTCCAGACCACTGGTCTTACCCAAAGCTCTGTGGCAGTTATGCTAAGTGATTGCAGTTCATCATTAGCACCCTGATAGGAATAGACCTATGTTCAAGTGGCCGACTGTAGCTTGTATGATTTTGTCCCTCCCCCCCCTTTCTCTTCCTGCGGCGAAGCTCTCGCTCGCCCTGAGGTAACCCAGTCACTTCAGCTAGTCAGGGGTTGCATCAAGAGGAGCCCTGCAGTGACAGTAGCAGCTCTCACTACTCGCAGTTCAGTCAGTCTGACTTTGGGTAGAGGTCGATCATAGCTGGACAGAGTGGGAACACATAGCTCTCGGGGAACGTCTAGCATAGTTGCACGAAACAGGTGTGAATACCATTTTTATTCCTTCAGCTTATTAAGATCTGAAGCTCAAGAGGATGTTGCCTGTTACCCATTGCATAAAGTGATGACTAGATAAAAGAAATCAATTGAATAGTGTGTTTGGCTCGCTGAAAGGCTGAAGGGCTTCCGTCAAGCCCGAGTAGGACTGTGTTGTACAGTGCCAGGCTCCTAGAGGACAACCATGCCAGACAACTGATGTCGTATGTGGTTACTATAGATGGAGTGATGAGTTTGTGACATATAAAGCACCATAGCCTGCAGGGGTATCCCAGGATCCCTCACAAAATATCAGTTCTGGCATTACAACTGCAACGGAACTCATGCACCTTCTTCAAGGCAATTCTGCTGCCCACTAAAATATTTATGCTCTGCTATGGATTTTATTTTTTTTCTAAAAGGTCAGTAAAAACCTGAAGTGCAGGCTTCATTAGTGTGAGTCTGAGTGTGGTGGATGGCATCATTGTCTTTGGGTACACTAAGGAATTTTGGGGTAGAGGTCTGTCACTGTATCCCCCCCTGTGGCAGCTGCTAAGTTCCAAGTCTCCCGTGGCAGACCAAGAAGGATATGGTCAGATTTAGGCTAAACCCATCGGAGCTTACAAAATGAGAGCTTAATGAATTCATTTCGGTTTCGAGCATGATTCACACTTCTCATCATGATTTGCTGCCTTTACATTGGTATTATTATCTTGCATTTCAACAGAAATATCTTGACACGCAAGTGCCTATGCTTGAACGTCAATCATACATACCTTCGACTGCATTGCACCTTTAGTATTGTTACACATGTAAGCTGCTGGGTGGTACCGAACACGTGTACATAAACAACATTTTACAAATTAAACAAAATTAGATGTCTATATTTTCTTTGATGGTTTTTATTACTCTCATCAAAGGAGTACATCACCTGGGGAGACCAAACTGCTGTCCTCTGAGATCTATGAGATTCTGCAGTCGGCTGGTAAAGAAGAGGCCGAACAAGCAGAAGCAGCTGCTGCCTCCTGCCGGCGTAAGGCCCAGTTCTTCCTGGGCTCCAACAACAAGAGGGCCAAAACTGTGGTGCTGCACATCGATGGACTGGATGACTCTGTAAGTGTTTCACAGTGTGCGCACAGGAATCAAGACAACGCATGCACAGATATCTGTTTTTGGCGCATCATGTTTGCTGCTGTCATAATCACAGTGCTTCTTAGCTGTATCTGTCTGGCACAGGATAGGAGGGTGGAGGGGTCAGGTTGTAAATGTCAGGCATTGAACAGCAGGACGTTGAGATTGAACCTGAATGCTGCTCTGCAGGAAGCTTGCACCTAGCCAGATTACATTACAGCAGACAGACGGCCTCTGGTGGGCTGCATCACTATCTCTACAGCAGAAACACACATCGCTGAGGCAGCTGGAAACTGTAGCGTTTTACTCTATAACATGTTGTATGTAGCAACTGATGTTTTACAATATATTTTTATGCCCACATTTGATCTAACTGAACTGTAGCTAATTCTGTATCATTCACATTTCCAGTCTTATGCTGTATAATGTTCCTTTAAGCCACAGTCATTTCTTAACTTATGACATGCTGGCCTTGTTGTTTCACACATCTGTTCATACCTTTCACCTGGTTCCTGCCTGTTGTCAGACTCGAAGGAGCCTGTGTGAGGAGGCCTTGCTAAAGATCCGAGGGGTCATCAGCTTCACCTTCCAGATGGCTGTCAAGAGATGTGTTGTCAGGATCCGCTCTGACCTTAAAGCTGAGGTACGTGTCTGTCCGATGCAGAGGAAAAAAAACACCCAGGAAGTTACGGACACACACAATATTTTTGCCTGCGTCTTATAACAAATGATTATCAGTTGTAATTTTGGTCAATACCAGCTGTTTATATCAACTTGTGTCCAGCTTCAGTTTATGGAATAAACACCACCTTATCAGTCCTAATTGTTGTGTTTGATGATATTAAAGAGGGAAAATCTGCGTCCTTCAGTCATTGCAAACATTTTAAGAACTTGATAAGTGTCATGTTTAATCAGAAATAGAATGCAAATGGCTCTCATCATACTTACACTGCATCCAACTGATTGGCTGTCCCCTGGTTTAACTTTAATATCAGTCTTGGTACCAAAACCACTAAAAGCCGACCAATATATAGTCAGCCTATGTTGGGAACAGGATTGTCGTGAATGAAAATGTAAGTCACTTGTTCTTCTCGCAGGCACTGGGCACAGCAATCAACTCCACCAAAGTAATGACGGCTCAGCAGGTGGTGAAGACAGAAGACGGAGGAGAGGTCAGATTATATTCTTGTTGCTGCACATACAGACTCATTTCTTTCACTCGGGAATAGTCGACTAATGGGTCAATGTGTTTGCTGTATGTTGTGTTGTATCTCTGTACCGGGAGTGTAGCTCTCCTGCCTGTGGCTGAGACTTATCCACACTGACATGATTAGCTAGTCACATCTCTGCCTCAGCCTGTAGGCTAGTTGCTTTATGCCAAACACATGACCAGTCCCAGTTGTACCTTTTTTAAAGCAGTGTGTCACCAAACCTGCAGCACCTAACAAACTGTACAGTGACGCTGTTTTTGAAACTGCTTTAATAATATATTAGATTCCAAAGCATTTGTTTTCCAATAATCTGTGAAAGAATTTTAATAATTGTTGCTCTAATAATTGATAGTAATTGGCTTGGGTTGCGTTAGTAGTCGTACACAATGTGGCCAGCAGGGGTCAGACCTGCCTCAGTCATGTATTCTGGCTCCAGATGGTGATTATTTGGCCACAGTCGAACAACTGTGTTTGACATTGAACCTGGAATCTTATGAATTGGTGTTTTGAACAAATTTCATGTTTTATGGTGAAAAAAAAACATTTTTTTCAATGTGTCTAATTTGTATTTGTGCAGCTGATGCTGCCATTCCAGGAGGGCTCTGAGGTGCTGGTAGAGGAGAACACGGACATCCCAGACTACCTGCCTGAGGACGAGAGTCCGTCCCAGGAGCCGGACAAGGCTGTCACACGTGTAGGCTCTATCACAGACGGAATAGGCTGGCTCAGCACGGCTGCCAACTTCCTGACCCGCTCTTTTTACTGGTGACCACTTCCTGTGTTCCTCTCCCCGCTCACTGTTTTCCCAAAAGTACCATCCAGCTGCAGCGTTAGCATCTCTCAGCCTAATCCCGGACTAAGCCCTGCCTCTCGGTCCTACACTAGTCTAGACTCCCCTCTGTAAAGCACAGAGAGCCCGGCCACACGTGTGCAACAAGTGCTGGACTGCTGGGTGGAGCCTGCAATAACTTTAACTTGTGTATATATTTAGCTACAAACCTCACTACGGGCTGTACGTGCACAATTATATACTAGCTGCATTTGTATCTCACACAACATAGTCAGAGGACTTTTAATCAGCCCGAAACCAAATAGTATTCTGGAAAAGAGTTTCATGGCGTTGAGAGAGTTGACACGTGGCAGGTGTATTTCATTGTTCTTTGGCTGATTTTGCGTACATTGAAAATTGGGAGTTCCTTTTTTCTTTTTTCTTTTTTTTTTTTTTGCATGATTTTGGTTGCTTTTGTCCTGGTATGTTTCCCAGTCATTGTCTTTTTACTCTCTATATGTTTTCATATTTGTCATTCTTTAATTTCCTAATTAAGCAGATTTTTTTCTTTTCATCCCTCTTGAGATTTTTTTTTTTTTTAGCATGCTATGAGTCTTTTGTGCCAATCTTGCCCGATGCCTGTGATTGTTGCGTGTGCCTTTTTGACATTTCACTGTAATTATTATTTATTCATCATTCATTCAAATGATTTGAGAGCATGTCAGATGTAACATTTGTGCTTCCCTAACAGCAGCCAGCCTCCCCCGGGCTTTTAGCTCATTGAGGGACATCACTTCGGTAGAAATAGTAAACTAGACACCAGCAAGAGGCTGCAGCCCATTCAGCCACTGGCTCACACGCATATGACTGTTGCATACTGAAAGAGGAACCGATTAGCTAGCTGGCTGATTAATACACCACCGCTCATTGCATTTAGCTGTTGCTGCCACAGATCTGGACTCCGATCAAGCTTTTAAAGCGGGAAAAATCAAATGCGAGTTCTGCAGTGGCGGTGAGCTGACTGACTGCTCCTTATGTTAATTGCACAGACTTTAGGCTACCTCCGCTTTCAGTGTCCCATCTCACATCAGCATTAAGGTACTTTTAGTAAAACCCTAGATCTGCATGGCAAAGACAAACCTGTTACCCGCCTGCTTGTGCAACCGGACTCCCACTAGCCTTTTTACAGTATTGTGAACCCGCCTGTTCAGTTTCATTTTCACTCTAGCCAGCAGTGTCCTTAAAACAAAGATCATGTCAGTGCACACTCTCACACACACACACACATACAGAGGACTTACTAATGCTGTCATATGAGCAGTAGCGGCATAATGTAACAAGGGTGTGGTTATGTACATTTTGTAAATGGTGCCTGATTCTCAAAGATCTCAGGCGTTAACATGTGAAGGAAATTTCTGTTTTTGTAATTCTAATTCGCATTTTATGTCACAATTTAGGATAAGAGTTTGTAGCAGCTAATGCTAATGCTCTAAGTGAGTATTTTCCAGATTCTTTAGCCCGTACCACCCTGTGAGTCACACCAGTTTTAATTATTATCTCCTCTGACTCGTGTGAGTGTCATTAACTATGATACACAATGCTGACCAGGTGAGTTTTATTGTTTTGATGGTGCAGAGACGTCACAGTTGGTTGAGGTCAAACTGATGGAATGGCACAGAATGACCTGAATAACGTGAACGGATGGCGGCTATTCTCTGGAAAAGCAATAATATTTTGCATTACATGCAGTCACTATAGTTCAGCAACAGCCTTCAAAATAATGTTTCGAATAAAAGCAGTTAGTTAAAAGTTAGGATCATCATCAGTATTAAAATTTCTTCATCTGTCCATTTTGCACAGAATTAATCTCTCAACCGCATCACGTGTCTCTGCTCATATTGCAAAGAAAATACTTGAAAAATTTTTGTTGATCAATGTGTAAATTTCCCTTTACTGTTAGATTCACCACATCTGTAAGGCTGACAAAGAACCGCAAATTAAGTCCTCAGAAATGTAACATGTGTACAGACTTCATCTGTCATCAAATGTAATATAATGTAATGCAAATCTTAAAACTGTAGATTCCCTTACACTGTTAATGCAAACAATGATAAATGTAAAATCAACCGTTGTCTGGCACTTTTTATTCTTAGTATAATTTTTGTTTCGGGGTGTAGTGAAGTGTTGACCTATGATTTCCTAGTATTAGACTCTCATGATCCTCAGGTCGTCTCATCTTCCTGGCATGTGCAGTGGTCACACCAGTGATCCAGACCTCACTTTGTCAAATCAAATTGCTGAGGGCAGCAGCCATTCTTAGCAGAGAGAGGCTGAGAGTAGGGGGGGGGGGGGCTTCAGTTTTCTTTACTGGTGCATAAGTGAGGTGCCCCAGGGCAATCCTGTAGCCTGCCCACCACCTCCCCCAGCCTCGGTGCTGGTAGGCAAGCAGAGGCAGCAGCCAGCCCCAGCTGGAGGCCCTGCAGCCACTGCTGCTGCTGCTGCTGCTGCTGCTGCTGCTGCTGATGATGATGATGCTGCTGCTGCTGCTGCTGCTGCTAAGCCTCCAACAAGATACTGCGCCAAGCTGGAGAGGAGGCCTTCACTGCTCTGCTGTATCATCTGGATGGACAGTGACTAGAGATGTTTAAGGTTAAGTTTGACTAAACAATTTTGAATTTGTACAGAATTTCACTTTTATTTCTCCTGAGTATTCCATAGAGAAACTTTACTGTTTTTACATGAAGGCTCGGCAAAGAATAGAAAACCTAAATTCAAATTTCATCCAGGACACATCAGAAAAGAAGTCGAAGAAAAATGTCAGTAGTGTTTAAAGTAAGATTTTTAAAGTGGAATGAGATGGTTCGAAATTGTAAATCTGTCACTTTTTGCGTGTTGTAGTACTTTAAACCTGACTCAGGTATATATATATATATATAAGTGAAATTTGTTTTCGTTCTTTTATTTGTACACAGAAGCTCAGTCAAAGTCCATCTAGTAACTGAGCTTTCAGTTATATCACATAATTTTACATCAGAAAGTTATCTCAGTGGTCAAAGTAATTGTAAATGTAGAATTTTCCAAGGTTTTTTTCATCCATGTTGCCCTAAAAGTTAAGTGTAAAACCTCACATTTAGCCTCAGGTAGTTAAGGACAGAGTTCGGTCTTATTTAGCATCCAGAGGCTATAAGCATGTACATTAGATCATGTTAACACAATATGTCTACATTTCAGATGTGTCAGTTCTTGATGAAGTATTGATAAAGAAAGCCTGGATAAATATCAACCATCCACAGTGACCAAAAAACACGGTGCATGGGTGTCTGGCCTGTGAGGCCTCTAAGATCATATTTCTCACACATCACCACTAGAGAGAGACAGTAAGCCTGACAAAGAGAACAAATGAGAAAGTGTGAGGTCCAGAGTATAATCTCAAAACATCTGATGAAACACTTGTTTGTAATTAGATGACCTACGATTCCTGATGCTCTCTACAGCCTTGCTGAAACTGCATTTCCATCTGGCCGGTTTGAGCAGGAATCATCATTAACACACTGCACCCATTAAAAATGCTTTGCTCACCTCAGACTGTTATGTGTGTAGACTAATGCAGCCATAAGGTTGTTTTTAGTAGTTAATATAGTGTGCACCTTTCTCTGCCATGCCTGAACACTAATGCTCAGCAATTTTCAGTTTTAAATGATTTTCTTCAAGGGTTCATATGCTTCCTTATAATGATATTACTTCTCATTAGAAGTTTTTGCGCGCAGGAGGACATCCTCCAGAGAACATCAAGTGGGATTCACCTCTCATTTTCAAATTAAAGCCACAGACAATTTCACTTTCACTTCCCCTTGAGTTCTTTGGATAAGCCACGTTGCAATTTCCACCCCCTGTTTCATCCCCTTATCAGATAAAATACAATCAGACTCTCCTGTGCACAGTCCTCATCCACCCTGGGCCATATCAGCCCAGTTGCATATATGGGCATGAATGTGTTGTCGGTATCACCCTCCCACCTGTGTGTATTTGCATGGTTAATCTGTGCAGGGGGGGGGGGGGCGGTTAGATAGGTGCGTCTCATAGCCCCACGGGCTCTTGAGGAATTTTATAGGAGGTTCAGCTCCCAGTCAATGGGATCAGCCGTAAATCGCGCTCAGAGTGTGGCAGGAAATGATGTGACTCCGGCAATTTATGTCAAATAACTTTTGAGGATGTGTGAGTGTAGCGATCAGCGCTACCGGGGCAGCGATAACTCTTCCGCAGGGGGCCCCGGTGAAGATTTAATTGAGACATTTTTCTTTATCTGGAGCGGAGCGCCGGAGCCGTGTTGTTGTGTAACGAGATGTAATGTCTCTCTTTATGCGGGGGTCAACATCCAAGATGAGGGAAGGTCAGGGACTGACTGTTTGAGCATCCAATTTGCTCACGTAATACCGGCTCCACAGGGAGCTGGGTAAAGACACAGAGTATTAAGTTACACAGACTGACATGAGAGCCATGGGCTGTAGGAATATAATGCATCTGGGTGAATTCATGTGGAGCCTTCCTGGGTGTCTAAGGAAAAAAGTTAAGTAATGTAGTTGCTGAGTGTGACCCATTTTCATTCGACTCCACGGTGGAAGTCTTGCTACCACTTTATTATAAGAGCTATGAGGTTTTTAAAGTATAACTAGCTCTTTGTAACACTCAATAAAACTCTCACTTCTTTTTTATTGATCAGTTATAAACCACTTGTAAGGGCAAACTGTGGGTTGCCAGGTTGTGAGAAATGCCCTCAGTTTATGCAGTTATTGAAGTTAACCATTAATAAATGCCCATGGTGTCTCACTTTCTAATAGCCCATAATAAAAGTCATTAATAAAGGGGTTTAATCATCAAGTCTGCAGCTGTAAGTGTTAAATAGTCAAACTGTCCAGCTAGTCAAAGGGATTTCCACAACCTGGCAACTCAAAAGTTGTTCTTCTTAGTATCTTTTAATTTATATAAGTATTAGTTAGCATAAGTTAGTGAGTATCAAGAAAACTGTTAGTAACAATGTATAATTCCTCCATGAAGGATGTCTCAGCAAAGTATTCACTACCTCAATATAAATATTTTCCATTACAAGTCAAAGTTCTGTATTGAAATGAATTTAAAGTGAACGTGTAGTAATCCTCATAATATAGAATGGTCTATAACAATATTAGGCTATATATTATTACACTGTATAATTATTACTGGTGCATGTTAGCATCCATATAATGTTATAGCTGCATGGTAAAGGTGAATTTTTTTTACTACTGTTGGCAGTGTAATCTGCCACAATGCATCATATTTTCTAAACTTGTGGCTTTAAAATATGAATCTGCAGTGACAGGACAATTCAAAAGTATAAAAGTCCTGCACCTCAAAAGTGTCAGCAAAATGTTCTTCAAGTAAAACTATTCATTATGAAATATTATGATGCCCAG